GCAGCACAATTTGTGATAGCCAAATCTTGGAAACAACCAAGATGCCCAACACCTGAGGAATGGATGAAAAAGATGTGGCATTTTTATACAATGGAGTATTACTCAGTTATAAAGAATGATAAACTCGAAGCCTTTATATTGAAGTGGATGCCACTTGAAGATATACTCATAAGTGAAATAAACCAGACAGACATGTGTAAATATTGTATTATTTCCCTAGTATAAGAACTCAAAAGAAGAAATACAAATAGAAAAGTATAATACAAGTAAAAGGAAAGCAAGAACTTGAGGACTAAATAGTTGAGAGGGAAAAGAGAAGAGCTAGGAAACATGACTGTGGCAAGCCATACAGTTATATGTAGAAGATGGGTAAGGCAATGATCCTGAGAATCTTCAGAAGACTTTTGAATCTAGCAGTTAATTGGAATGATTCTTGCCCTAACTATATATACTGACACCTGTGAACTAAGTAACTGCACTGAAGATGGCAATTTGTAATAGTAGATTCATGCTTGGAGTGCCTGGCATTCTGGTCTTCTGAATACGGGCTGCCTGTCATGACATGCCAGTTGCTGCCATGCTATCTCTAGGGTAGATGACTGTTCAAAAACAAGGGGGTGGTGAATGAAGGCAGGAGACAGGAATAGGAATGTTGTGGGACTGTCCTGCTACAAGGTTGTATATGGTTAGATTTCTGGACTTATGTGCAAATATAAGAATTATAAATTCTTTATGCCTATTTTAAAAATATATTTTAATTTTTGAAATGTTTTTTCATCATGGTCTTTTTTCTTTTTTTCTTTTTTTGGCTGAAGCAGGGACTGAACTCAGGCCCTTGCGCTTGCCAGGCAAACGATTATTCCACTGAGCCATCTCCCTGGCCCTGGAGAGTTTATTTATTTTTTTGGCAGAACCAGGGAAGCGCTTATTCCACTGAGCCATTTCCCCAGCTCCTTTTTATCATATTCTGTAGGAACTTAAAATTCAACATATCAATACCTGATGAAAAATACCTGTTCCATGTTATGCCTAAGATGTTTGATATTCAGACAGATAGTGAGGTTAAGCTTGACAGCGTAGGTCATATGGTAATAACAATAAGCTTCTCTTCTGCAGGGTTAACAACCTAAGTTTGCAGACCAAAATTAGACAAAAAAGAGGGCTGCAAGGAAAGCCAACATTTTGGCCCTAGCCTTCCAAGGTCAATTAAGACTCAGGACACAGGAGAACTTGTACTGTAATGTCACGTAACTCATTAGTGTCCCAAATTTTCTGATCAAGGAGATTATGGGGACAAAGAGGAAAGTGATCGATGATGTAGAGTGTGCCTAAGGACAGTCACATGGAGGAAAAACATTCTCTCAGGCTTTCACAGAGAGCACACTGGCCAAGCAATGGCCATGACTCATCCACATGACTGACACTGACAAAGGATCTACAATCTGAGGTACAGGATCTCAGAATAAATCCTGAGGGGATTTGACTGACCTTATCAGATCCAAAAGCTACAACTCTTGTTGCATAGGTCTTGCTTTACCTTGGTCTTAACCATCCAGCAGAAAAGTATAAAAATGAAGTATAAGAAGTAAAGCCATGGTGTAATGTTGAGCTGTAGGGGACTCAGGTAAACAATTTCTGACATTGCCAGTCAAGCACAATACCCAATACTATTATGGACTATTGGACTCTTTTAGAATGTTTTGCTGAGTTAACACACCTATAATACTCAAATGATGGAACTAAACAAAAAAAGGGGATACAGATGAATGTTCATTTTGTATCTGTGTATTCAAAATGGTTAGAATAGATATATAGTTACATTCTGTTAATGAATAGAGGGATTTGTTCTAATAGGGTTTGTAAATAGGATATCATGTCTGCATCTTGTACAGGAAATGACCATTGGGAAGAGAGTATGCAATGTGTTAATTATCGAAACTGACCTACCAATTTTATTTGAAACTGTCTCATCGCTATTTGTTTCTCAATAAAATTATGGGGAAAAAAATAAAATAAAAAGATTAAAAAAAAAAAGAATGACCCCTGAAGGTCTCTTAGGCAGGGCTTGGAGGGGAGGCCGTTGGAATTGGTGTGGGGAGGAGTTTGGAAGGTTTGACGATTCCAGCTACAAAAGTCACAGAAGGCTGTGCACTAAGCATGATGGGAGATTCTCGTCAGAGTGAAAGGACCAGTATGCTGCAAGGAATGGAAACCATGAATGCCAGGTTCTGGACATTTCAGTTGGAAATAAGGTTCACACTGGCATTTGGATTCAAAATCACATGTTATGCTCTGGCAAAAATTCAATCTACGTAATGTCCTGAGACTTCACTGGAAAGTAAGATTAGGGACAATAGACCAGCTCTGGCAGAAGAAATGTAAGGCAGCCCGCTCCCCAGCTGAGCTGAGACACAGATAGCACTGGCCGCTCTCAGCCTTACATACCAGCAGAAGCAGGAACATCAACAGAGATGAACAATTTGAAAAATTCTGCCAGACAGGAAGTACGTGTGGGGCCAGCCAGAGAGCTCAGCAGATTAAAGCACGTGCTTAGGCAGAGTGCAGAAGCTAGGGTTCAATCCCTGGAGTGCTGTGCTGACCCCGCCCCCAGGTGTGTTGAGACTGGGATTGAGACTGGACATGGTGGTGCGCCTATAATTCCAGTGCTCAGGAGGCTGAAAACAAGAGAATCACTGTAAGTCCAACCTGTGTAGTAAGACCCTATAGACCCCATAGACCCTGTATTAAATACAAGGAAACGATATAAAGGTTTTTTTTTTTTTTACAAAAAAAAAAAAAGAAGTACGTGTAAAGCTGGAGACTATAAAACTTTAGCTCAGGACAGTTTGGTTGCCAAATTGATAAGCATTAAAAAGAAGACAAGTACTTCCTGACTCTGGTTCTTTTTTTTTTTTTTTTACATTTATTTATTGTGTGTGTGTGGCCAGCTCAGCCCACCAGGGGGCGGGGCTGGTTGGCATGTGGTGCTGGGGGATCGAACCGCGGTCCCTATGCTTTGCCAAGCTTGTTCTAAGTAGGTGCTTTAGACCACTGAGCCATCTCACCAGCCCAGTACTTCCATCAGGACAAGAAAGATAACTTGAAGGGATCTCACAAACCCCTAATCCCCAACCCATGAGAGGCTCAAGGCTGCAAAGTTGTACAGCCTTCACCTGAGCAGACCCAGAGCACCCTACTCAAGAAGCACTCCCTGGGCTCCCCAGAATTCCCTTCATAAGGTCCAGTCATCAGGCACTCAGAGGCCTCTGCAGCCATTCTCCAAGGGGGCACTGAGACTGCTCAAGCTAGCAGCACACCTTGCACTGTCCACATGGTATTGGTTTCACAGGGATACAGAATGTAAGAGCTGTGCACTGAAGGAAGCTTCTATCCAGGTTTCAAAGAAAGCTCTTGGGAGCAGGCAGTGTGCCCCAGAAGCCACAGTATGTGAAGCCATAAATGAAGCTGAACGTGCTGTGGACACTACCCAGGAAAGTAGCGAACCAGGCATGTGGATCACCCTCAGCAGAAAGCTCCAGGCAGTAACCAAAGTTAGCCCATGTCAGAAGCCATGAGGGGGGAGGGGGCCTGCCCCTTAGCTCAGCTCTTTAAGTGGCTGCTTCAACAAAGCAGTCAGGCTCAGGTTGCTGTGGTTCGATCCCCACAACTCAAGCCAGCCAAACCTGCCCTGAAGGCATTCGGAGCCCAAAAAAGCCATGAGGGCTGCAACTGCAATGAGCAGGATGTCCCGAGGCCTTTGGAGTTCTTATCTCATGGCCACAAGCTGCCCTGGGTATGAGACTTGAACTACAGGTGCAATGTTTGCCCTGGTTTTCGGCCTTGTTTGGGCCCCATTCCTTCCTGTCCCCAGGCCTCCTTTCTGGGATGGGTGTCTGCCCTGTGCCAATGCACCTCAATACCACCCTTGTGGTTTTTAAAGGCACTCACGGCTGAGAGCTTGGCTTGAGCCTCAGTCTCTTCAGCAATGCTGGAACCTTTAGGACTTGGGCAACTCTTCTGCGGACTAAGTGCATTTTGCATGCCTATGTCTCTTGGGGACTGGGGTAGAATGCTGGGGCTTAGATCAAGAATGACCCCAAAGGCAGTGGGTGCTCACACGTGGGGCACCGGTCAGTGACCGGACTCAGGGGCACTACAGCTGACTTGCTGTTAGGAGGTGGGCCCTGGCCACAAGAGGCAGGCAACAGGGTGCGGCCTCAAATACCTAACAGCACCTCTCCCAGCCCTGCGCCTCCCTCCTCTCTGCTTCCTGGCCACCATGATGTGAGCAGCTCTGCTCTGCCCAGGCCCTTCCACCACACTGTTTCCTCCTTGGCGTGCCTAATCATGAACTGAACTCTGAGCCAAAGTAAGCCTCCCTGGGCCGGCCAAATAGCTGAGCGGATTAAAGCACTGGGCTGGGGGTTCAATTCCCGGGCCTGCCATGCTGGCCGCAACCCCAGGGCGCGCCGAGATGGCAACTGAGGCTGGGCATGATGGCGCACACCTGTAATCCCTGCTCTTGGGAGGCTGTAAACAGGTGGATCACTACAAGTCCGACCTAGTAGTGAGACCCTGAACACCCTGTAGAGCCTTCTCTAAAAATAAATAAATAAATATTTAAAAAAGCCTTCCCTCCTCTAATTTGTGGACACTGGGTGTTCCACCCTAGTGGAGAAACTTCCTAAGACAAACTGTACTCTCAAGCATTAGGCACTAAGTAAGCATTCAGTAAGCTCTGAGGTGAACATACGGTCGGTCCTATTTTGAAATTTCATTCTCTGCCAAAGCTACGTGACATACGAGTTAAAATGGGGACAAAAACACATACCTTTGCCTAACAGCGTTCCAGCTACAAATGCTTTCTCATAAGCCAAATCTTTATCTTCCTTCCAATCGCTTTTTGCCCAAAAGTAGCTGAAGTGGAAGGTAGGCCACCAGTTCCTCCTAGACTCCCACTCTTCCTGGACCCACCCAAGATGGTTCCTGGAAAAGAACATCAAAAGGAAGTTTGGTGATGGGGACAGATCTGCCCTCTCAGAGTATGAATTTACCTGGCATTCCTGGAGAGATGACAGACGCTTTCAACTAAGCCGAGGATAGTGTCCACTGACAAGGGACGTAAACACAGTCTTGTGACCATCTTTCTTCTCTTGCACAAGATGAACATAAGAGCCGCTCGCTAGCTCAAAATGTGGCTCCAACCATATTAGATCACAGGTGCTGTTCTTTTTTAATTTGAGAGTGAATCTCACTGTGTACTTCAGGCTGGCCTTGGACTCACTGTAAGCCAGGCTTGCCTCACAATCCTGGTGCTCCTGCTGCTTCAGCCTCCCCAGCGTCAGGATTACAGGCCTGTGGCACCACACCCAGCTGAGGGAGGTTCGGCTTCAGACAGGCACCTCCCAACAGACTCACTGTAACGTGCAACACTGCTCTTGACAGCACCAGCTATCTCGACAGAATTCTTTATGAGGAGCTTAGAACTGTGTTTTCTAGTTTCTGATGTACTCAGAAGAAAATAGCTGAAGAACAGCTCAGGAAACCCAGAGACATAAGAAAAAACAAAACAAAAGGTTTTTAAAAAACTGCTATTAGCTAAAATGTGGGAAAATGGTGACTTAGTAATGAAAGCAGGGTCTCCGACTTACGCCATCAGAGTCTGTCGCAGGTAACTCGCCAGGCACCTCCAAGCAGTCACGCTCTTAGTGCACCCGGCAAAGTCCAGGAGGCTGAAGAGCACTTCCAGCCCCAGTTTACGGTGCTCTTCCTTTTCTGCAAGTGTTACAGTTCAGGTTACATAAGGCACTGAAGAAGCGCACAAAGCTAGAGACACGGACAGCTGACAAAACAGAACTCAGCGCAGGCCTCCTGCTCTGGCTGTGTGCGAGGCAGCTGGGCGGGCCCAGCCCCGCGAAGGAGCTGAAGCGCTCGGCGACACGCTGCACGCAGCTGAGTCGGGTGGCCAGTCTGCCGGAGAACAACATTCGTTCTTCTAGGAGAGGAACCCACACGATCCTTGTACCCCGGGGCCAGGCGAGCTGGTTTATTTCTAAGAAGCGTGTTCCTTCCTTTACTGAGCCGAAGTCCAGGAGGGACTAAACGAAGTGAAAGACGCCATGGAAACCATCTGTCTTTTCTAACCACTGCCTGTTTAGCAGGCGCGGGAAACGCTCTCGAGGCGCAGACGGACAGCATCTTCATCTCCGCCAGCGCCTGGTCCCTGTCACTGGCACAGCGCTGCATGCTGGTGCACTGGCAGCCACACACAAACCCAACCACGGGAGCCAGTCCCACACCATTTCTAGAAACTGTCAGGGTGGCGGCCATCACCTGCTGATCCCTGGACTACGGCTACCCACACAAAGGGCAAGGAAACAAAAATGGTTTACCTGATTTTCTAAGTAACAGATGGAATTCTAACATCAGTTTATGAGACGGTACAATCTGATACAAAATCTGGAAGAAAGATTCATCTTGTCACTTACGCACTGTAAAGACATTTCTCAAATTCTCAGCTTGTTTGCAAGTAAAATTCTCATTGTCTAAAATGCTTTAAACTCACAAGTGGCGGTCAGGGCTACTGGGGGAAACAGATACTTTCTATTTGCGTCTCCCAGACATCTGCCTACACTTACAATTTTAAACAATTTATTCTCAGAAGCTGGGTCTTAAAACCACCACACAAAAAAATATTCATTGATCATGAGTGATCACAGAATATCTACATGAAACACAAACTCAAAAAGCAGTGACAACAACTTTAGAGACTGTCGTCTGGGACACAGTGCATAAGACATGGGAATAAATACTGCAACAATCCTTTTACACAACAGAGGAAAAACTTAAAGGTTTTTCTTTTTAGCAACAGGAAGGACTGAGCCAGGTGTGGCAGCACACACCTATAAACCACAGCTAGTAGGCCCAGGCAGGAGGGCCACAAGTCTGAGCCCAGCCTGGGCAACTCAGCAAGACCCTATTTCAAAAAGTAAAAATAAAAATAAAGCATTGGGCATGTAGCTCAGTGTTAAAGCCCTGGATTCCCTCCATAGCACACTCCGCAGGGACAGATGATTTCCAACAAGGTTCCGAGAAGGACAGTTTTCAATAAACCAGGGGGAAAATTAATCTTCACACTTACACCTCACATTATACAAAAAAAAAAAATACATATATGGTAAAAATCTACTGTAGACCCTTAACATAAAGGTACACAACACTTTTAGAAAAAAAAAAAAAAATGAGAGAATCTTTATTATCTTGAGGTAACACAAAGACCTATTAGATTAACAAGCAGTAATAGCAGAGGAAAAATGGGTAATTAGAACCGCACCGAAATTTGAAATTTCTACTCTCTAAAACAGTAGCCCCTACAAAAAAAGACACCTAAGATATGAGAGACATTTGACGAAAGCTACAGGGACAGCAACAGACTTTAAAGGACCCACCACCCAGGCCATTAGGAAACTCAAGTAAAAGCCACAGCAAGGCACCGTGTGGCCACCAGAATGGCTGCAGTGCAAGTCAGCTGACAACAGCAAGCTGGTGAGGTGGGCAGACTGAGACAAGCTCAGTCACCAGCGAGCCGCTGAGAAGCTCCCCAAGAGGCTTCGCACAAACGTTCTCTGTGGAGCAGCTCCACTCTTAGGCAGGCCCCAAGAAAAGCAAACCGCGTGCGCCCTGAATCTGCCTGGCAGGGTTACTCGTGACCAATTAACCAACGTACAGAAGCCAGTCCTGTGGGTGCCTTGGGCACGGACATGTAGACAGGTGAGCCGCTGCGGGAAACGCGGGGAGGTGACAGGCACTGTGCAACTACTTATGCGGGGGCGTGGCTACGGCTGCTACAACACACCCAAGCACACGAGACTAAGTGTGCCCTCCCTCTGGAAATTATACGCCATGCGCTGGCTTTCACAGACCACTACAGCAGTTTGCTGACCAGAGACACGCAAAGAGGCCCTAGGCGCTGGTGCCCTGCTCGGGAGCAAGCCTGCTGGCCTGCAGCAGCCGCAGCCGCAGGCGCCAGCCACGCACATCTAGAAGCGCTGACTGGGCCCAGCCCAGCCCATCCAAGCTCCACGGGGCGCTCCATACCTTCAGCACGCTGAGCAGCTCCGATCTTGGTGCCTTCGCTCTCTTTAGAAAGTTATACAAGTAGATGTGGGCATTTGGATTGGACGGGAACTTTTCATCGTACGCATAATTGGTGAGTACCTTTCGGGCCCCATCTTGGTCACCATAGAATTCCAGCATCTGTATAAAATAAGCCATGATATTGTAGCTGAATTCTATAAGACACCTATGAAAAACCTTTACTGCTAGGTACAAAAAAATTAAAGCACCAATAAATAGCACTGTACAGGGCAACAGTGAACACTTCCATGGGCGTCCGCGTCCGTCCCAGCAGCCAGGGAACGAGACCACTCCCAAGGGTCAGTGCTCCACCACAACCTTACTATGCTCTGTAACTGGGAAACATAGTGACTCACACCTACGAACTGGTTCACAAGAAGAAGAGTCCTCCGGGGCCGGCCAGATAGCTCAGGGACTGGTGTACAGGGGCAGGCTGAGTCAGTGACTGAGACTGGGAGTGGTGGTGCACGCCTATAATCCCAGCACTTGGGAGGCTGAAAACAGAGGATCACTACAAGCCCGATCTGCGTAGTAAGGCCCTGTAGACCCTGAACTAAAATACATTTTAAAAAATAATAATCATAATCATCATCATAATAGTAATAAAATAGACAAAATGCTTTCCGGGCAAGAAAACCACAACTAAAACCCCAAAGCAGGGGGCCTGGCCCTAGCTCAGGCCTTTAAGTGGCTGCTTCCACAAAGCTGTCAGCCTCAGGTTGCTGGAGTTCGAACCTCACAACTCTCCCGCTGGCCAAGGGGCACACGGCATGGTGCACCCACTGCCTAACAGGCGTTTCCGGGGAAACCAGGACATGGCTTGGAGATTACCACTGCCCTCACAGTTACCACCAGCACTCAAGGTTTCAGAAGGCAAAGTATTTTCAAGATTTCTTTCCAATGGCCAGGACCAAGGCCCCGCGTCCCTCTGCAGCAGGTCTGCAAGGACTGTCTTCGGGAGCTCGGGAAGGAAGCTCCAGCTTCAGGAGCTCTCAAAGCTGTGACTCTGCATCCCACATCTTGTGACCTAAATTCAGATTTCTATCTACATCCTTTCTATGTCCCACAAATTACAAAAGATCTCTTTTTCTTTTTTTTTTTAGGTTTTATTTATTTATTTACTTATTTATTTATTGCAATTTACAAAATTTTTTTAATGTAGAATATGCTTTATATTTATTTTCTTATTTACCATTTTAAAGAGAAAAACAATAATAAAACAATTATACAGAATTTCAAAACAAGATAATAGGAGACCAATATATATTGCATATTGATATCTTCAAATTACTTGTTCAGATTACAAGATATAGGCATGCATAATTGATCAGACAATGTAAACACAAACTATTTTTTCAATGAACTAAAAGAAGTCAGTAGTACAACTATCTTATCTATCTTGTGTACACTGAGATGCAGTAGGAAGATAGCAATGTATTTTCATAAATTGTTATAGCCAAGTTAGTTTCTTGCCGTCTAATTCTAGGCTTTTTTTTTCCATAATTTTACAAATGTTTTAATTATACACTACTTTTAAACTTGGCAAAAAAAGATTTATTTATTTAATCATTTATTTATTCATTTGTTTGGTACAGGGTCTCTCCACACAGCTCGGATTCCTAGTGAAGATCTCTTTTTCTTTAAAGCACCACAGGAGTACAGAAATGGCATTTAAAATTATACTGTTTATTTTAAATTTTATAGACATGTGATCAGGGCAGATAATGCAGCGCGAAAATAAACAAGAGTAACATTGACAGTGTACTAATAAACAGAAATCATTCAGACCAAAAAAGAGACAAATCATATCTGCCTCTATTTTTTGTTTTTTGCTCATTCTGTTTTTTATAATTTCCTCTCACTGGTCTCCTTCTGCTCAGTAAAACTGGGCATGCAGATTTTCCACAAGCTTGGGACTGAATGAAACTAAATTATTTGATAAAACGCCAACTCACCTCCACGTAACTCTTCACGAAAGGGTCCCAAACTCCAGGAGTTTTAATCAGTGCACTAAAATGTACAGATGTCTTCCAACTGTGGCTCAATATATTTCGGGCTTCTGTATTGTAAGCATAATCATCCTTGTCTGCCCAAAGAAAAATGACTTTTAAAAGTCATTCAGTGTTGAAGAACTGTTCAATCAGTAACCAGAAGACCCACATAAAAAGCTCAGGTTCTGATGGCTTACTGGTGCATGCCTATAAACATAGGAAGGAAAACTAATTCCTTTTTTAATTTTGGTCCCAGGAATCGAACTCGGGACTTTGTGCTTGCCAGGCAGATAGGTGCTCATGTCGCTGAGCTATCTCCTTGGCCTGAAAATACTAATGCAAACTTCCCAAAGTAAAAATAGAAAGGAATTGCTCAACTTATTCTATGAGGTCAGTGAAACCTGGACACCAAAGAGTATAGGTAACGCACAAAAAAACGGCAGGTCAGTCTCTCTTAGGAATACAGATACAAACCACTCAACAAGACACCAGCAAAAACGAGTCTAGCCACAGACAAAAAAGACCCAGTTGCGACCTATGCCAGGAAGACAACACTGGCTCGACACCTGCAACTCCAATTCACACAAGTAACAAAAAAGATCTATCGATCCAACACAAACCAACAGGATGAAGGGCACAAACCTCATGATCATCTCAACAGAGCAGGAAAAGCCGTCAGCAAAACTCAGAGAACCTTCATGATGAAAACACTCCAATCTGGGGAGTAGAAGCAGCTTCCTCAAGCTGATGCGGTGCATCCACGAAAAACCCCCAGCTACCATCAAACCTGGTGGTGAGACCACACACTGTTCCCCTCAAATTGGGAACAAGACAGAGTCCTCTCCTACTACTTCTATTTATTATGCTGGAGGCTGCAGCCCGAGCAATTAAGCAAGAAAGCAGAAGAGACATCTAGCTTAAAAGGAAGAAGCAAAATTACCTCTGTGCAGATGATGTGATCCTATAAACAGAAAATCCTATGACTCCACTTAAAATCCTAGTAGAATAAGGGAGTTCACCAAAGCTGCAGGGCACAATATCCACCCATAAGAAAATGAAACTAGAAAAGCAAGCAAATTGCAAAGGCACCAAACATCTTCATGTCTGGGCATAAACGCTGTGTCCCCTAATCTGGGTAGCAGCTCCGGGTGCTCGTTTTCAGTGCCTGCCCCATCTCGCATTTGTTTCCCATTCTTCCTCTCCATGTTTCATTTCACAAGCTTACAGGCCTCAAAGGAAAGGCACTCGGCCCCGCTGCCAGCAGGAACCCCAAGCCCTGGCAGTCTTTTCCCAGGGGACCAACCCAGTATCTATCAATATGGACGTGGGAATTCAGCACAGGGACATTAGCTAGGGAGTGAGGCAGGGAGAAAGCCTGGGAAGGAAAAGGGATCCTGAGCAAAAGGCAGGCCTGCAGGGAAAGGGTCCCAGCGGCCAGCGCCTCACACCCAGCGAGGCAGCACAGTGGCTCGGCCAGCCCCCCCGCTCGACTTGCCGTCATGTTGGACAGACACTGGAGGCAAAGGCCTTCTAACAAGCTCCGCGCCTCACGCCATCCAGCTCTCACTGTGGCAGAGCCCAGCGCCAGCTGCACAGGGCTCAAGGCCTCTGCCTGCGGCAGCAGTAGTCACACCTCCAGGGCCAACGCTGTCATCCAAACATTTGCCTGAGTCCTACCCGACCATATGTAAGAATAAAACCAATATTGGCTTTAAAATCCAGCAAGAATCAGTAAGTCCTGTGTGTGTGTGTGTGTGTGCACGTGCGCACGCGCGCAGGGTCTCACTACACAGCTGGGACTCCTAGTGATCCTCCTGTTTTCAGTCTTCCCAGTACTGGGATTATAGGCGTGCACCACCACGCCCGGACTCCCTCTCCAGCTCAGTACACCTGGGCGCAGGGCCAGCTGGCCCCTGCGCTTAGTCCACTGAGCTCTCGCCGGCCCTCTAACAAAGAAATACCATGCCACAAGTGAGGCAGAGTGAAAAGAGAGCCACAGACTAGAGGGAAGAGAAGTGTGACCACTAGTGACCAGGGACACACTATGCCAGCGCACATAAAAATAGAGCCAGAGGGGCCGGGGAGATGGCTCAGTGGAATAAGCGCTTCCCTGGCAAGCACAAGGGCCTGAGCTCAAACCCTGGTTCCGCAAAAAAAAAAAAAAAAAATGAGCCAGAGCTCACCTTGGAGGTGGCAACAAACGCCAACACTAGGATTTGGATGATGGGTATGGAAACAGGTTAGCCTGAGAAGCTGTGAAGATCAACGAAGGGGAAAAAAAACCACAGAGACAGCCACCATGCTGGAGGTCAGGGTGGGAGAGGGAGGAAGGGGGAAGCACGGACTCCGCTGAGAACTGAGCAGTCATGGCTTGGAGGTCAGTGAATCGGGAAAATGAGC